GTCCAAGATTGCTGACAAGCACTGCAGCTTTAATTAAGCGAACTGTTGCATAAGAGTTTGTTTCGCTTTCACAATGCGGACAGAAGCTTGTCCACAGGACTAGTTAGTTGTTCAGATAGTACCTGCATAGTTGTCACACAGTGACTGTTCTTTGTGCTTCAGCCCTTTGGTTGGTGACATAAGCGTCCTTGTGCTGACAAAGCAACTGCAGCTTGTAACTAAGCGACTTGTTGCATAAGAGTGTTTTGCGTCACCAATGCGGACAGATAGCTTGTCACACAGCGATAGTTAGTTTGTCAGATTGTACCTGATAGTTTGTCACACAGTGACTGTTCTGTTGTGCTTCAGCCTTTGGTTGGTGACAAAGCTCCTTGATTGCGACAAAGCAACTGCGCTGTAACTAAAGCGACTTGTTGCATAAGAGTCTGTTTTACTTGTCACCAATGCGGACAGAAAGCTTGTCACACAGCGACTAGTTAGTTTGTCAGATAGTACCTGCATAGTTTGTCACACAGTGACTGTTCTGTGTGTGCCTCAGTCATCCCATAGCTTGTCACGCAGTTGCCCTTTCAAGACTTGCTGACAACGCAACTGCAGCTTGTAAGAGAGCGACTTGTTGCATAAGAGTTTGTTTTGCTTGTCACCAATGCGGACAGATAGCTTGTCACACAGCGACTAGTTGACTAGTTAGTTTGTCAGATAGTACCTGGATAGTTTGTCACACAGTGACTGTTCTGTTTGTGCTTCAGCCCTTTGGTTGGTGGCATAACGCGTCCTTGACTTGCTGACAACGCACCTGCAGCTTGTAATAGAGCGACTTGTTGCATAAGAGTCTGTTTTGCTTGTCACCAATGCGGACAGAAAGCTTGTCACACAGCGACTAGCTAGTTTGTCAGATAGTACCTGCATAGTTTGTCACACAGTGACTGTTCTGTGTGTGCCTCTCAGTCATCCCATAGCTTGTCACGCAGTTGCCCTTTCAAGACTTGCTGACAACGCAACTGCAGCTTGTAAGAGAGCGACTTGACAAAGGAAGGACAAAAACCTTACAGTCACTGTGTGACAGTCCCTAGAGCCACTTTGTGACAACCTGAAGACTGACTGTGCGACAAAAGGAGTATAGACTGCTGAGCAAACTGGCAGGCAGACTGGCCGGCCGCGACTGCCTGTCACTGTGTGACAATGCATGACAAGCAAAGAGCTCACTTCACACAGTGAGGCCTGGGATTGTCACACAGTGAGCCCCTAGCTTGTCATATAGTCAGTCCTTAGGTCGTCACACAGTGAGCTCTTTGCTTGTCATGCATTGTCACACAGTGACAGGCAGTCGCGGCCGGCCAGTCTGCCTGCCAGTTTGCTCAGCAGTCTGTACTTCTCTTGTCGCACAGTCAGTCTTCTGGTCATTACAAAGTGGCTCTAGGGACTGTCACACAGTGACTTTAAGGTTTTTGTCCTTCCTTTGTCACAGAGTGAGCAGTCAAGTTGCCCGGCAGTAGGCTCCTAGCCTGTCACACAGAGAGCCCTTAGATTGTCACACAGTGAACCCCTAGCTTGTGATATAATCAGTCCTTAGGTTGTCACACAGTGAGCTCTTAGCTTGTCATGCATTGTCACACAGTGACAGGCAGTCGCGGCCGGCCAGTCTGCCTGCCAGTTTGCTCAGCAGTCTGTACTTCTCTTGTCGCACAGTCAGTCTTCAGGCAAAGGAAGGACAAAAACCTTACAGTCACTGTGTGACAGTCCCTAGAGCCACTTTGTGACAACCTGAAGACTGACTGCGCAACAAGAGAAGTGCAGACTGCTGAGCAAACTGGCAGGCAGACTGGCCGGCCGCGAGTTTGCTCAGCAGTCTGCACTTCTCTTGTCGCACAGTCAGTCTTCAGGTTGTCACACAGTGGCTGTATGGATTGTCACACAGTGACTGCTAGGTTTTTGTCCTTCCTTTGTCACACAATGCATGACAAGCAAAGAGCTCAATGTGTGACAACCTAAGGACTGACTATATGACAAGCTACATTTTTGTCGATTTGGACCAAAAATGCTGGAATCTCTTAGGTCTTTTCTATTTTAAAAAAGGTAGTGCTGCATGAACCTAGACTGAGAAGCTTGTAGTGATAAACGCCTTCGATCACTATTTCATGGGAGATCTGCTGGAAATGCACCAGCATCAATTCAATTCAGAAGTTGATATTTCAAAGACACAGTCAAAGCTGGGAATGAATGATGAAAGGTGATGAAGAGTAAATTTCAAATTCCCTTCCCTAGAGGCATATTATAGTTAATTGTTTCGATTGTTCCATACCTTTGATTTTATTCGCATTTAAAAGTTTTTTTTTCGCAATTAAAAAGTTTTTCTTTCGCAATTAAACATCCGGTTTCTTTCGCAATTAAACCGTACTCTGATGGACTTAGTCCAGCTCCTGACAGACCTATTATTCAATACCCTGGCGAACCACAACTTTAGATGTGCCACTGCTGGAGAACTGGAAGCTTTATTCACCTGGGCTCGCCAGTTCCCTCCTGATGAAGCCAATTCCGGATTCCATACAATTCAATCACCTACGCCCACAACTGACAACTCGTCTTCGCACCCAGTGGGACATTCACATGGTACCGTCAGACTTGGAGTTCCGCTACGCTGACCTCACTGGAGATGTTTTCCAAGTACGTGCCGACTGGACCATCATGCATCTTTTGGAGGAGTATCGACCTGAGTGGCGAATTCGGCAGTATAATTACATGGAGTCTTCTATATTAGTACCAGGCACCAACCAACCTTTTATTCTTCGGTTGACGTGTCACAAAGTTCGTCAGGGATTTATTCTTCCTTAGATCTATGCTTCGAGAAGACAGCGCATCGGTATGAGAAAAGCTAGCCTTATTTTTCGTCTCCGGGATTCTTAGGGTCTCCGTTGATCCTGTCATCATTTCATCATCGTTATGTCATTTATTTTTGAATATCTTGATGCCTTGTTTCACTCCACATACGTTTATTCAAGTGGTATTCGTGGCCCTACCTAGCTTTTGCTCCATCCCCACGTTCACCAGTATTTACAGCCGGATTCATGGAGAATAAACTTGATGCAGCCTCTGCGGGACTGGCATGGCCTACGATCTCTACACGCAGCTCTCAAACCTCGTCTTCACCGGCCGAATCGACCGTTTTGCCTGATTGATCAGCTCTGACCTCGATGACTTCGGCACCTTCAGAAACTTTGACATCTACCAGTGGAACTGACGCTTTGGCACCTTCTGGCACGTATACTGCTGATCCTCATCCTGCTACTCCTTTTCCCGCCCCTGATCATCTGCACATGGCTCCTCATCGACATGTTCGCTACACCGAACGAGTGGGATCCATCAGATTCACTTCAAGATCTTTACACACTCCAACAACGAGCGCGAACTATTTACTGAAGAGATACCAACTTCGGGAATTTCCAAATGTCGAGATCCTGAACACTTCTTCTACGGCCTCTCGGGAAATTGGGAATGGTCCAAGCAAACTGCGGATTATTGGCGCCATCATTTTGAAATTCCCCTTCTACGTGGGAACAATCCGTTTCGCAACGTTGCCATTGATACGGCACCACCTTCGGGTGCAGAAGGATCGTTGACTACGATTTCGACTTTGGCTGGGCAGCTATCCGAATCATTTTTGGCCGCCAGGGCATCTGGGGAACTTGGAGACGCTTGGAGAATGGTTGAACAGATGAGCTTCACCGACGCGATCCGAGCCCTTCAAGAAGCTTCGACATCAACTCCTTGACGTACTGACTGAAGCCTTGCCAAGTCACTGTATCGAAGGTATACAGCAATTCGTGCACTAGAACGCAACAGCTTTCATCTCTTCCAAAAAAGAACCCTGCTCCGGCAGGGTGTGTGTGTGTGACACATCTGCACAGATGTAAAACTTCCTGGTTTCGTTTGTTTCTTTTCATGCAGGGGGCACAGGTGTGACTCTGGTTCCTGTGCCAACGAAGACGGCCAGAAGTCACAGTGATATCGAAGGGAGACGTCCCTTTGACGTACCTGCAGTGTTTCGACCGTTTGTAGCAGGAGGCTAAGCCAAGGACCTCACCCAACACATTTATGATTTGCTGTTGATTTTATTGTTTTTTTGGTTCATTGTCCATGATGATGACGTTGATTTATTGAACATGATCGCCGACTCTATTTCGCCGACTAGGTCGCCGAGCTTTTCATTTTGTTTTGGGAACCCTTCGCCGACAACTTACGTCGCCGATGATATTATCTCTCTCTGGTTAACTTTTTGATCCTTATTCTATTCTTTTTGATGGCGATTCAGCGATTCAGGACATGGTGATCACTCAGGAGAACTTCCATTATTCGTAGGATACGTCGTAGATTAGTTTGTTTCCCGTCTAATTTGCATGTTACAGGATTCAGTTCCTGCCGGATCACTACAATGATCCATTCTTGTCTAGTGTGTGGGTGTGCTTCAGGTATCTTTTTGAGCATCATTTCAGCATCATCAGCTTGGAAACCCATGCCAGACGTATAAATAAGAATATAATATATATATATAATGCAAATATTATCAGATCATTTTATTCAGTTTAAAATTTAGATATTCATGCTCGTGATTGTATCAAACTTCCCACGTACAGAACCCCTTTTTTTGAACATCATCCACATGTTTGGGGTAGAGGTTTGCTCCCATCAGTACATAGTGATCCCGACTTATGACTTCAAATCATGCCGTGAATGTTCACGCCCCTTTTCTGGCGGGATGTTCGGATGTAATTCGCCATAATGGTTGTGGACATCATCTACCCCCCTTCTCTCCGGATAATCAAATACCATAACTATCACCTCAGTTCTTTGTGAGATGTTTTTTGACATGTATGTCAAACTATTACTAATGGCATATGTAATAATATCTGAGTCTTCTCCACTTGTTTTGTCATGTACGTTCTGCTTACTTTGCCATTTTACGATAATTTTCTTCATTTTTGTTTCTCGGATTTTGTTTGGAGGACCCTTCGCCGGGGCCGCCACCGGAGCCCGAGAAGCCGCCGGGCAGGTGGTCCATGGACTTCACGTGACCCCCAACGAAAGAACGAAAGTACGACGAAAGAACGAACTGAACGCTGTGGTGATGTGGAGGTGGTCACTTTAGTTATAGATAATATGCTCATATGTTGATATTATTTCATGATTTGATATAGTATAGATGAGATGGCGGATGGTTGTTGCAGCAACAAACCCACAGCAACAACAGTGTCTCTGCGAGAATCTTAGGATGTGAAAGGTCACGAAGGCTTAAGATGTATAAACAATCCCACGTATCAATTCCACCACACGGGCTGGTTCCACCGGCCCCATCTTGCCATGACTCCAGGTACACCATCGGCCCAGAAGGCAGCGAAGGGATCTTTGATGGAAAGGTGCAGCTGTTGGATCGACATGTGTTGGGACCTCAGCAATTATTCAGGATGCATCAAATGTTACCTACAAACAGAAAGCATTGGTAAGCGCATTTGCGCATGAGGGTTGGCCAGTTGCTCACGATGTTTTCTTTTGTCAGATTCCCTTTGAAAGATGCAACGGTCATTCACCCATGGTTTCTCTTTTCAATGTCATCTGAGGTACAACTCCGTGAGTGCCGCCGTCAACAACTTGAACGATGGCCTTATTGCCTCCACCTCAGCATGGCAAAGCATGGCAAGTTGTGGCTTGCAGCCTGGCAACATCTGGCAACATCTGGCAACATCTGGCAACACGGGTTACAGCATGTCACTATATTACTGAGGTGGTTCCCGAAGGGTACTGCGTGGTGTTCTCCGGTTCCCAACAAAGCCTGGGACTTGGCCTGCAGACATCGCCGATGAATTATGGAACGCATGGAACGCATGGAAGTTGAGCTGTGGAGCCGTGCTGGAGCTGTGACAAACTGAGATTACTACCTACTTTGGCGAGAAGACAAGGAAGCCGAAGTCTTTTCTTTGCACTTGTCTCAGGACAATTGTTCGTTCCCATTTTCATGGCATTTCATGGCACGGCAATGAAGTTTCAACAGAAGCACTGAATCCACTGCCGCGAAGTTTGGTCACTGGGAGTCACTGGGGAATCACTGGAATAGATGCTGGCTGTCTCAGGCTGGGTTCGAGCGATCAGTGTCCTGGATGCACAGAAGACCAATGTCGCACCAATGTTGCGACACCGTTGAGAGAAACAAAATCCCATTGATCGATCTATATTTGTGCAAACCTTGCCGGCTTGCACGGGTTATTGAAAATAAAGCTTACCCAAAAAGGGGGTTTTAATGGTTTTGACGTTTTCAGGTTTGCCAGAACAATGTGTGAATGATCATTGAATGATCATTGAATGATTTCAATGTCTGTGCGCGCCGTGCGCATGGGCATCCGAACATATACGAACATCCTACTCTAGTCACCAACAAGTCCAAGTAGCAGGGGAATTGCTATAGGGTGTCATTTGCAAAGCCCACAGTTGCCTTTGCTGTCAGAAACGTTGTCGCCAATTGTTGTATAGGTCAGCAGAGCCATTGACGCCAACACGATACCAATCAGACAAGGCTCGTCAAGCGATTTAGGAGTCGCTTTGTCTCATGAAGATCTGCAGGAGTTGAGGAATGGAGCGAAAATCTGGATGGGTGGCTCAGAAACAATTCCGACTTGGTAGTGGAAATTGTAGAAACTGGTATGAAACTAAGTTCAAATACGAAGCAAAAGTATAGATTGAACACGATTGAGCGAAAATTATCCCTGAGTGATGCCTGAGTGAGAAAAAAAATAAACAGCAAAACAAGTCCACAAAGGACATAACATCATCCCAAGCGGACTAGGCGGCTGGAGTACATCATAGTCGCAGAATCATGCCTGTAAACAGAAGATAAGGTGTGCGCCGTGCGCATGGGTATTTATCATGGCCAAAGCTTCGTCCGTGCCACCATCCCTGCCGCCGCCATTGCAGCAGAAGAAAAGCAATAGGAGAAACTTCCTTCCTTCGACATGAAATCTGCTCAGGGATGCATCTGTTGATTTCCCAGGTTCAGGGAATATCTGTTTTTGGATGTGCAGCTGCAGGAAAAACGATCTTGCGCAATATTGCCGGAAAATCACGCACCGCGACTTTTATTGGATGCATCAACTTGGCAGGTTGAAGATGCAAGCTTTGAACCATGTAAATGAAGACATGCGTTCTGAATTGTGATGGATGCAGACTTTGGCTGGCAACTGGTTCTACTTAGGGCGTGAACGAACGAATTTGCCCCCAATCTGTTCTGAAATCGAGCGATCTTTCTTCCATGGGGTTGGCTTGGGAAGAGTCACATTTGCTCTTATACTTCAATTTTGTGTCAACGTATCTTGGACAACAGGACTAAAGGATAGGATTTCTCATTAAATCTCTGCCTGAACATTCCTTCGGTCAATTATTTTTGGTAGTTTTGGAGTATGACCTAAAATTACCCAGTTTTCAGAATCTCGTCTAATTCTACTAGTTTGCCTGGTTTTGCTTCCTAGTGGCCACACTATCACCACAATTGACATTTTGAATATGACTGAACATGGCTTGCATCCTGGCTGCGTCCCAGGGACATACCAGGCCATTCTCATATCCCGAGCATTCATATCCCGAGCACCAACGCATATAAATGCACATAACCGCGCCCAAAATTACCCGCAAAACGCACGCAAAAATCCGCAAAACGCCCGCAAAAACCCGCAAACGCCCGCAAATCCAAGAATCTGGTAAATTTGTAAAATTTTGGGAGCGCGCAATTAAACAGAAACCAACTTGGATGTGCGGCTCCATATTTTGAAAGCAAAATGCTGGTGAGAAGATTGGGAGGAGGGCCATGCCGTTGGGAAACACAGCCATGACATACCACGCCTAACTTTTTGGGGAAACGCTCGATACCGATACGACCATAAATTTGATGAAACGCCTGATTGTGCAAACCGATTGATATTTTTTAGGAGTTGGAAGGCCCAGGTGCAGATGTTCAATTTCATTCCTTGGCCTCATCTCAGATGTTGATTTTTATCCCTTGTGTTATCTTACTTGACAAGATGTTCGTCCCTATATTAGTTTTAATGTGGTACCTTTGTCTCTGGTTTCATCTCATCTCAGATTTTTGTTCATTCCTCAGTCGCATCATACAACCTCCACCGTGTTATGCGGTCTTGCACCAAGTCATGTTATGGCATTCCTGTCGGTCAATTTGTTTTGCAGTCTTATCTATATTTGTGTATTTAAGAAAGGTGATCAATAATGTGTGTGTGGGTGTGCTTCAGGTATCTTTTTGAGCATCATTTCAGCATCATCAGCTTGGAAACCCATGCCAGATTTGTAAATAAGAATATATAGAATGGGCTAGCGCCCGGGTGCCGCCGACCCTCCTTCGGGGGGAGGGGGGTGTAATCCCCGGAAAATTCCGTATGCTTAGCCAGTCCAGTGGCTACACGTTAAACTTTGTTCGATGATTCACCACCCCTATACGGATCATTGACTGACCTCACCTGCACACGAAGTTCAATGTCCGCACACCCCCGCTGCAGCCACAGTTGCTTTGCTGATGGTTGTAGCTAGTTCCTTGTGTTTTGGGAGTTTTAGCTTTGTAATAATGGAATTTGTACATCACTGAACGGTGTGTCCTGTTGTGCTTGAACAGTTAGGCAGGCGGTGATGATGTACTGGGCTCATGTCGTTTCTTGTCTCGTCTCCCATGAAGTTGTCTCAGGTTGGTGTGTTGTGGGGATGTTTGTATAAAAGATATATATGACATTATTATTCCATTGGACCATTGCTTATTGTAAGACCACAAAACGCATAGGCAGGCCGAATGTCACCAACATGAACCTACCATTTGTAGTCATAAACCTTCTTATTATTTGTTTGTCCATTGCAGGGCACACAACGCAGGTGCACACTGCTTGTCATAAACATGCTTGTTTACTACTGGGTCGATGTTGTAACAAGTGCCCATGACAAGATCTTGTGCCAGATCGTGGTGTGCCTATGGGGAAAGGCCCGAAAGGCCCATGTTCTGTTTGTGCCTCAGTCATCCCATAGCTTGTCACGCAGTCTGCTGTTGTTGTTTTGCTTGTCACCAATGCGGACGGATAGCTTGTCACACACTTACTAGTTAGTTTGTCAGATAGTGGCTGCATAGTTTGTCGCACAGTGACTGTTCTGTTTGTGCTTCAGCCCTTTGGTTGGTGACATAACGCGTCCAAGACTTGCTGACAACGCAACTGCAGCTTGTAATTAAAGCGACTTGTTGCATAAGAGTCTGTTTCGCTTGTCACCAATGCGGACAGATAGCTTGTCACACAGCGACTAGTTAGTTTGTCAGATAGTACCTGCATAGTTTGTCACACAGTGACTGTTCTGTTTGTGCTTCAGCCCTTTGGTTGGTGACATAACGCGTCCAAGACTTGCTGACAACGCGACTGCAGCTTGTAACTAAAGCGACTTGTTGCATAAGAGTTTGTTTTGCTTGTCACCAATGCGGACAGATAGTTTGTCACACAGCGACTACTTAGTTTGTCAGATAGTACCTGCATAGTTTGTCACACAGTGACTGTTCTGTTTGTGCTTCAGCCCTTTGGTTGGTGACATAACGCGTCCAAGACTTGCTGACAACGCAACTGCAGCTTGTAACTAAAGCGACTTGTTGCATAAGAATTTGTTTTGCTTGTCACCAATGCGGACAGATAGCTTGTCACACAGTGACTAGTTAGTTTGTCAGATAGTACCTGGATAGTTTGTCACAAAGTGACTGTTCTGTTTGTGCTTCAGCCCTTTGGTTGGTGGCATAACGCGTCCTTGACTTGCTGACAACGCACCTGCAGCTTGTAATAGAGCGACTTGTTGCATAAGAGTCTGTTTTGCTTGTCACCAATGCGGACAGATAGCTTGTCACACAGCGACTAGTTAGTTTGTCAGATAGTACCTGCATAGTTTGTCACACAGTGACTGTTCTGTGTGTGCCTCAGTCATCCCATAGCTTGTCACGCAGTTGCCCTTTGGTTGATGACATAACGCGTCCAAGACTTGCTGACAACGCAACTGCAGCTTGTAAGAGAGCGACTTGTTGCATAAGAGTTTGTTTTGCTTGTCACCAATGCGGACAGATAGCTTGTCACACAGCGACTAGTTGACTAGTTAGTTTGTCAGATAGTACCTGGATAGTTTGTCACACAGTGACTGTTCTGTTTGTGCTTCAGCCCTTTGGTTGGTGGCATAACGCGTCCTTGACTTGCTGACAACGCAACTGCAGCTTGTAATTAAAGCGACTTGTTGCATAAGAGTTTGTTTTGCTTGTCACCAATGCGGACAGATAGCTTGTCACACAGCGACTAGTTAGTTTGTCAGATAGTACCTGGATAGGTTGTCACACAGTGACTGTTCTGTTTGTGCTTCAGCCCTTTGGTTGGTGGCATAACGCGTCCAAGACTTGCTGACAACGCACCTGCAGCTTGTAAGAGAGCGACTTGTTGCATAAGAGTCTGTTTTACTTGTCACCAATGCGGACAGAAAGCTTGTCACACAGCGACTAGTTAGTTTGTCAGATAGTACCTGCATAGTTTGTCACACAGTGACTGTTCTGTGTGTGTGCCTCAGTCATCCCATAGCTTGTCACGCAGTTGCCCTTTCAAGACTTGCTGACAACGCAACTGCAGCTTGTAAGAGAGCGACTTGACAAAGGAAGGACAAAAACCTTACAGTCACTGTGTGACAGTCCCTAGAGCCACTTTGTGACAACCTGAAGACTGACTGTGCGACAAGAGGAGTACAGACTGCTGAGCAAACTGGCAGGCTGCCGGGCAACTTGACTGCTCACTCTGTGACAAAGGAAGGACAAAAACTTTACAGTCACTGTGTGACAGTCCCAAGAGCTACTTTGTGACAACCTGAAGACTGACTGTGCGACCAGAGAAGTACAGACTGCTGAGCAAACTGGCAGGCAGACTGGCCGGCCGCGACTGCCTGTCACTGTGTGACAATGCATGACCAGCTAAGAGCTCACTGTGTGACAACCTAAGGACTGATTATATCACAAGCTAGGGGTTCACTGTGTGACAATCTAAGGGCTCTCTGTGTGACAGGCTAGGAGCCTACTGCCGGGCAAATTGACTGCTCACTCTGTGACAAAGGAAGGACAAAAACGTAGCAGTCACTGTGTGACAGTCGCTAGAGCCACTGTGTGACAACCTGAAGACTGACTGTGCGACAAGAGAAGTGTAGACTGCTGAGCAAACTCGCGGCCGGCCAGTCTGCCTGCCAGTTTGCTCAGCAGTCTGCACTTCTCTTGTCGCACAGTCAGTCTTCAGGTTGTCACACAGTGGCTGTAGGGATTGTCACACAGTGACTGCTAGGTTTTTGTCCTTCTTTGTCGCAGAGTGAGCAGTCAAGTTGCCCGGCAGTAGGCCCCTAGCCTGTCACACAGTGAGGCCTTAGATTGTCACACAGTGTGCCCCTAGCTTGTGATATAATCAGTCCTTAGGTTGTCACACAGTGAGCTCTTAGCTTGTCATGCATTGTCACACAGTGACAGGCAGTCGCGGC